TCCTGAAACCCATTGAAAAAGACAACATCGTAAGTGTAGCCAGGGTGGGGGGAAACCGACCCATTATGTACAGAGGAACAACAAAATGGCAGCAGGTTTCTTGTTAGAAATAATGCAGAAGAGAAGTTATCTTTAAAGTACTGTTACCTTAAAATTCTATACCCAGCAAAACTATGTTTCAAAAATGAAGGCAAAATGAAGTATTTTTCAGATATACAAAAGCTGTGAAAATTCATCACTAGCAGCCTCCCACTATAGAATAATGTCAAAGACAGTCCTTCAGGAAGAAGGAAAATGATACCAGATGGAAATATGGATCTACATAAAGGAATGAAGAGCTTGGTTGGCTTCAAGGGTGTGTGACCTATGTGGTTACACAAAGTCCTGCATGTAGAAGGGCCTTGTGCTAGCTTTGATGTTTTGATGTTACTGGCTTAAAATTTTTAATTCTTTTTGAACAAGGGACCCTATATTTTCATTATGCACTGGTAGCTGGTCGTGATGAAGAATACTTTGTAGCCCATAGAGGTGGAGGCAGAGGCTGGAATGTTGAGGTTGACTCTGAGGATCCAGGCCATATGTTCAGGCATGGAATAGGGAAGAGATGGAGGTAGCTTCTTCAGAGAAAATTTGGAATGTTTTAATTTTAATCAGGAGAAAGGTGAATGAACAGATGTCTACTAAAATAAAATTTTTTAAGGTAGCAATTTCTGGGTAATTAGAATACACTTTTCCTTTCTGCACAGAGATTGATCATAAATGGCTATAATCAGAGAGTTTCAGTTCTTTCTGAAGTTAATTTGTTGCTGAGTATTCAAAACTGTCTCTTCAGGCCAAAACACCTTGTTTAGTGTGTGTGTGTGTGTGTGTGTGTGTGTGTGTGTGTGTGTGTGTGTCTGTTTTACTATTTCTGGTATCAACATTTTAATAATGTCTGTTCCATAATATTGACCTGGAGGTACTGCAAGAGTGTAAATTAACTTTACATGCAAAAGAAAAGCTGTATTACTTCCAATGACATTTTAGTGATTAAATGCGTTTTATTGTAGTATAATTCTACCTCAGTTTGGGTCAAGGCTCCAAAGTTGAGAGTAGTATGGTAAGTGTGGACATGCAAAAGATGCTGAAAGATAGTAGAAATAATAATATCAGAGCTGGCCCATCACCACCCTTCAGGAAATATATGAAAGGGCTAGAAATCAATGGAAGGTATATATTTATTTGGGAGATTGTTCATCCTACATGAGGACATATGTCAGGGTGCTTCTCTGAAAACTTGGGCCAGCTGAGGGAAGCTTCAAAAGAATCCCTAAAACAGCTTGAAATTTAGATGCAGGGGGTGGAGTTGGTAGAGGCCAGGGGCTTTACCTGTTATATGCCTGGAAAAGTCTAAAGCTCAGAGGTGGTATCTGGCTGTCCTGAAGGCTTGCGGGAAGCTAGCTGTACTGCATATAGGTGTAAATGCAGTGCTTAAATCCACAGATGATTTATAAAGGTTGCTCTATACTTGAATACTCACATCTAGTCATTTAGTTGAAGCCTTTGGCTTTGATTAAAGTTGTTAATATTTGAAGTGTTGACTGATATAGCCTCCCTCGTGTGGAAATATGAATATTTCTCATTTATTATGTCTCGTGGTGAAAGCATAACCTTTTACTTAAAATAATTGGTTTGAAAATGGAATTAGAACATTCATCCTCCCATTCCTCCCCTGCAATTTGTGAATTTACTAATTATTCTTCTTGGTTATGAGCATAAGTTACCATTTACCTTTATCCAATATACATGCACACACATACACACACACTCACAGAATGCAAAAAAAATTAGGAAATAAAGTTAATTGCAATGTTAGCAATGACAGTGGTATAGATAGAAGTGTGAATTTATAATGCTGATCATGAAATAAAACATCAAAGTAGGTAATGAGTCTAAATCTGACACTGATAGGATGATAGCTCTACTGCATTTAAAGCAAATAAAGTAACATTACTCAAGAATTAATGCAAAATTAGAAGGTTTCCTTTGAAAATTTCTTAGCACATCTTCAAGTGGCTAGATTATTACAAAATTTCCCAGGAAAGCTAGAAATTAAATCAACAACATCGAAAGAAAAAAAATCTGACAGTCCTAAATGAAACCGTGATGTAAATATAGTTTCCGAAGCTATTAGGCAAGAAGCAAATGATCCTCTAATCAATTTACTTTTGCAAAAATAATGCCAGATTATTTTCATGGGGCATGTAAAATAGTTTTCATGGGACACACGCGGGTATTGCTACCTTAGCAATCTTATTTACTTCTACCCAAAGGTATTTAAAAAACAACCACTGATGCTGAAGTTATTTGTAATCATATCCACAGTCTATCTCCTCATCCTCCATTCTCTTCCCCTCCACCAGCAGACTTCAGTATCAAAGGCAGGCTACATTTACACTTCTCTCTTTCACTTGACATACGACAACAATTACTGGAGCAATCTGGTTGCCTTAAAACTAGCGACTCATTACAATGATTCAGGATGTGAACTTCTCTAAAAGGCTTTGCTCTAAATCAAGGTGACTGTACATTCCCTTTCAGGTTATAAAACAACAAATTGTGCATTCTTAGTATAGGATTATCTGACCCATATATTATACAAGACAACCTCATATATGGGTACCTCTCTCATTAGTTGGGATAAACAAAAGTCTTGAATTTGAGATTATTCTTTGTGATGCAATTCTTTGCAAGCCAAAAGGCATGCACACATTTTGCCTTTTTCTCATTTTAAAAACTAGTAACCGAGAACCGTCACATAAAATACCCAATTCTACTGGGCATACAAATTTTGTTTTCTGATTTCCAAGTCTAAAGGTTCAGAACAATTTTTGTCCATAATTAACATGGACATAATTAATCTGCTGAGTTAAATGACTTATACAACCTCACCATCAAGAGTGTGAACTTGCCCATAAAAGTTGTCACAAGGAAAATTAAATTCAATCAGTTTACTTTAAGGCAAATGCTATCGAGTTAGTGGTAGACACAGATGGCATGCTCCGGGCCAGAGGATTTTGGCCTCAAGGTCTAAGAGACAGTGACTATGTTTTCAAATTTGATACAATGCTTGTGACAGGCACTTCTCCCTGTATTGAAGTCAGAAAACCATTAAGAGCCAACATGGGTGAAAAAGACCAATTTTCTGTCTCAACTCAAGGCTTATTGGCCTTATGGGTGGTGGTGGATCAGTCCCTAAGCCCTGGCAGTAAAGCGTGGGGCCATCATCCCTGTAGTCACACAGCTGTCTACAAGGTCTGGCTGCAGTCACTAAACAAAGGTCTCTAGACCACAGGTACCCCCAGCATTGGGTAAAGTGAGTGCTCAAGCCTACATCTTAAACACTAGCTCAGGCATTTGGATTTTGAGAGACATAAAGCCTCACATTGTAAACGATCCTTGCATCAATGAAAACATATAATAGAGTCCTATTGAAATCCATTCTTTACAATGGGAGATTACTGTTAATACTAGCTAGGTAAGTGATTCATGTGCTACCTATTATAAATATTAATTCTTCAGTGGGCAGCAATGTGATTCAGAAAATGTTACACAGGAATATTTTTCAAGCGATTACATTAATTAATTAACTGAGATGCAACTTAAGTTGGAAGCTTGTTTGGTTGATCTATGGAAGAAGGTAGCCCTTTAACAAATATCTATGAGTAGCCATGTGATGAGTGTCAAGTTCTTGACAGAGAATTGAAATCTTAGCCTGATGCAACCAACAAGCAATACAGTTCAGTCAGTTCCACTGCCACACACACTGGATGTAACTAACCAAAGGCTTTATGTTACACAATGAGTTTCTTCTGAAATAATGATAGCTCTTGTGAGGGCATAAGAAACAAAAAATTAACAAAAAGCTGCTTATGGAAATGGAATCACATTAATTTGTCTATTTAATGTGACTTTTAGATTCAAGAACAATTTCTGTACGATGTTCTAGAAAAGACATTCTTTTTTCAGAAAGACTTTTAAAAGCAAGGAATAATTAGTTACTAATAATAACTATCATTTAAAATAAGCAATGGCATGTAATGTGTAGAACCGGGACTTTTGGAGAAAAAGTGACATAAAGAGTAGAACAGAGCACTTTTGAACCAGCAGAAACTTATTTACTTTATCTTATAGTTCAGGAATGCCATTTTCACTCAATCATTTACTATAAAACTAAAACTTTTTTAAAAAAATTAAGTGATTTCTCATTGTTACTGTTAAAAAGGAATGTTTATAATGCCAAATATAATTAAAATGCATGACCATTTCATGTTATGTTTTCATCTAATTCCTTCATTTATGCTAGAAAATAACAAAAGTAAAAATGCAATGAGAAGAGTATCAAAATCATTTATGCAGATTTAGCTGATCTCTTTGGGCTTGACTTTATGACAACATATGTTGGCCAGTTTTCATAGGAAATATATGCTAAGTGTATAAATAAAACAGATACAACATAAGATTAGACACTAGCTTCAGAAAATAAAATTTTGATAACACAGCAGCCTATTTAGTAAGAATAAAAGCAGTCTCTTGGAGCGTGGGATTTGTATATGTGATTAAGAAATGGAGACAAGGAAACATGATAGCAATAGAAAACTAAAAAAATGATAATTTAAATCTTTAACAGTGAATATGAACAAAGATCAGAATAGGAACCTATTTATTATCACTTCTATATCCTAAAACTGAAAAAAATTTCCTAAAAAAGAAAACATGAAAATGCTTGGAAGATTTTCTTCGATAATGCAAAATACCCTGAGAGTTCTCTCTTTCCCTCTTAGTTCCCCCACATCAAAACTTCAAAAGTTAATGACTGGAGCTTGAGAAAGATTGATATCGAAAACAGAAGGTGTATCTATAAATCCCTGTTAGATATCCAAACAGTTATAAATAAAGAAAAATAAAATTTCACTTATCAAGGGTTGAATGGCTAAGTTGTCACTAAGAGACCAACTTACATTAATAAGTTCAACCTCCCAGATTTTTTTCAACAGGTCCATCGATGTGTAGCCATTAATTAGAAAGGCTTTGGTGTAGTCACCCAGTTCAATGGAATCCAGCCACTCAGCTACAGAGGTGGGATGGTAGCCATCATGCCCAATGGGTCTCATCTGTAATGAAGAAAATTACATTGGGATTAAACTGTATACTTTGTGTCCTAACAACAGAATGCAGATTTCCCTTTGAAAATTTACTTGATATGAAGAACAGATCTTTCTGGAGAAGGAAATAAGGAAAAAGAAAACACTTTCTGATGTATTTTCACAATTCTAAATCATTAATAATTTTCACGCTGAATTAGTTTTCAAAATATACCCAGAAATTTCCAATTTAGCTGCTAGATTATCTCTATATTTGGAAGAACTAAACATGTCAAACTTCTGTCATAGACATTATTGGCATTCTGTCGGGTGGAATTCAAAATGATGTCAGTTGAATAGTATTAAATTCAACGCCAAAGGCACCGGGAAGTGTACTTTGAACATGTAGATGATAATTCTCAAATGCACAGCATCAAAGCATGTGAAAACACAGCATGACTTAAACATTCAAAGCGAATTCATGCTTATGCAAGACATGTATTGGAGGTAGAGCAAACATGCTGGAGAAACATACTGCTGCGGTGAACCAGTAAAGGAGAGGCCTTTGGGTATTTTAAGACCATGTGTTCTGCATCGACTCTACAGTATGTTAGACATGAATAGAGAACTTGCTGGCAGACAGGCGTCTATTTTTTGTCAGCTATATACAGATTTTTAAAAAATACTTTAGGAGAACAAAGAAATGTGACAGCAACATAATGTTTCTGAGTTTAAATTGGAGTGTGAAAGTAATTTAAGCAAGAGGAACTTCTGGGTTTAAAATTTTGTATGAATTATTCTGGTCCTTTAGCTTTTATTTGAAATTGTAGCTGAATTTGTGGTTCTTGGTTTTCGAAGTGACTCACTTCTAAAACTTGGGCTGCTTTGCATGCCACACCGTATATCTAATACTTCAGTTATTAAGGACAGCTGGCACCTCATCAACCTGATGGGCGCCTTCTGTAAAGCTCATGATGGAAACAGCAATGCTGGGCACAACGCAACATAGATTTTCTTCTTCCTTCGATTCAAACAGATAAATATTAATGGAAATCTATATGATTCTGATTTGCTAGTAGAGAAAAGATTAGTCTGGGCATCAGGGATTCAGATTTTAATCTTAAACATGTTCAGCTTTCTGTCATTATGCACGGTTCTCATTTTTGAGATTCTCCCTACTCCTTCATTTTTAAGTTACTCTTTCTCCTTTCCTGTTGTTCTGCTTCCCAGTCTAGTTTCCATTTCAAAGTTTAAATGTTCTCTATTTTATTTTATTTTATTATTTTTTGAGATGGAGTCTTGCTCTATTGCCCAGGCTGGAGTGCAGTGGTGCAATCTCAGCTCACTGCAACCTCCACCTTCCGGGTTCAAGCAATTCTTGTGCCTTAGCCTCCTGAGTACCTGGAACTAAAGGGGAGTGCCACCACGCCTGCCTAATTTCTGAATTTGTCTCTACTAAGAGACAGAATTTCACCATGTTGGCCTGGCTGGTCTTGAACTCTTGATCTCATGTGATTGGCCCACCTTGGCCTCCCAAAGTGCTGGGATTATAGGCGTGAGCCACTGCGCTTGACCTAAATGTTCCCTATTTTAAAGTTATAGTGCAACTTATTATTTACATTAGAGTCTGAACCTGGTCAGACTTCTGTACTTCACTTTTACATGGACTCATTTCAGCTTCTCATTACATGTTTGTTCATGTAACACTTAACTCTGTGCTTATTATGTGGTAGCTACAAATATAAATGACAACTCAGCATTTGCAGAATGAAAGTTAGTGGCATTCACAAATACCCAGATGTTGTATATGTATAAAATTGGAGGCTAGGATCCCAAAAGGAGACTCATAGGTATTCAGTACCTTCATATTCTTTAGAGAAATACAAAAATATTGGGGCTGGGAACATTCTCCAGGCCTTGTTAAAAGGTGGCTGAACTAACTCTGTTAACCTAAATAATCACTCTAGCCCCAGGAACCTCCCTGACTACCCCAGTTGACATGAAATAAGAAAGAAATGGAAAAAAAGGGAAGAAAGAGACACTAAGGTTGAAGTTAACTGCCTAGTAGGGAGGTCTTGCTGTTAGCCCATCCATAAAGACAACCACCCCAGCAGCAGATACTAGGGACAAGCTTAGGGAGTCTTGTTGACTGGATTTGGGTCAAAGTCAGTTGTCTCATACCAGAGAACTGTGCAGTGGGGTTCCCACAGGTTACCCCTAAGCACTCACACATCACTCTTTTGAGGAAGTAATTAGTGGCCATCTGACACACAGAGGGTGTTGATGGTCAGTGTTAGCCAAAGACTCAGGGAAGCCAAAGACTCAGGGAACCCACGACAGGACTACAAAGAAAATCTAGGTAAATGTAAAGATGTTTGCTTGTTCCTCCAATCCCCCTTTCTTGTCCCAATGCCAGAAAATTTAGAATCAGAAAAGTGCCAGTCCCTTGGGGGAAAGTCTAAGCTTGGGGGAGGAGGGAGGTGGGTGAAGAAAATAAAACTGGAGGTTTCAAATGAATTGGAACTGAGGCGTCCATATCTTAAATGGTTGGAAAGTTATTGGATATGTCTGAGATGATGCTTATAAATAGCAAAGGGAGGGTCAGTTGAGCTTGGTTGAATGATTGAAAAATAAAAAAAATAAAACCACCATCACATCAGGATTGCACTGAATGCAGGCTGCTCAGTAGTCTGATTACTCCTGTAAGGCAAGTTATCCCAGACCAATCTTAAGGAGGTGAGAGGGGAAAAAATATTTGGTGGGAGGATGAAAGACAGGGAGCAGGGTAGAGGGCACAACTGAAGAGACCTTGGAAATGGGGATGCTAAGGTGTGCAGGGCAGTATTCATCCATCCACTCAATCAATAAATATTTAATCAATGCCTATTCTGATGAATGTTGTGCAAATAGTAGAGAACAAAACAGTCATAGTCTCTTCCTCATGGAGATTATAGCTCTTAATTAAAATATGTGAACAGATGACCAATAAATTATGAAGGTTCTGCATACCTGAAGAGAGGAAGCCAGTAGAGCCAAATGCAGTTACAAAATTAACTTGACACATATTTAATGATATGCAGAATAGTTACTGTGCTGCACAATAATTTCTTCCAAAGCAATGATCCCATCTGTTCCTTTATTTCTGTTCCTACTGCCATTACCCTGTTTAGGTTCTTGTTAGTGCTTACAAAAACTAATGCAATAGCCTTCTACGTGGCCTCCCACCTTTGGTCCATCTTGTACCTTGCTACTACATTAGTCTTCCTAAAAGCCAGACGCTTAAGTGTACCCTTGTATAAATGGGTATACTGTAGTGGCTCTACCTTGAGAAAAGTCCAAATGTCCTATTCCAGCATTCAAGGCCAATTGAGATCAGCCTAATCTCCCACTCCCCTGTTATTGTGTAGCAAATAAATGTAACTAGACATGTGTATGTCTAACCGGTACATTAAATTGCTAGCCATTCCCTGAAAATGAACCGTATAAGACACAGTCATATCTTTGCTAATATAACTTCCCATGCTTAGAATGTTTTTGCCCCTACTTCTGGAGTGATTTCTTCAGAACTGCCTTCTCTTCTTGAGCTCTGAGATGAAAATTTCTAACCATTTGTAGGACATCTCACATAAATGTTCTATAGGTGTCACCAACATAAGTCAAAAACAAATTTAACTCCTTCAGCTCAAAAACAGGCTTTCTCTTTTCTTTCCATTTCAGTTAATGGGCAACTTTTACTCTACTGCCAAGTAGAAGCTTGGGAGTTATCTTACTTTTCTCTTTCTGTTTACTGTCATATCTAATTAGGCCAACATGTTCTATCGATTTGATTTCTAAGGTGACTCTCAATTTGCTTCTCTTCCTCCAAAATGGACTTCGGAATATGACATTCCCAGCAGTGCTATGTATTTGTTGGTTGATCTTTGGCAAGTTACTCTTTGAGCCTGTTTTCTCTTTTTTAGAATAAGCATAATAATACCTACTCCAAGTGTTGTTGTAAAGATTATATGAAATAGGGGATATAAATTGACTAGCACAGTGATTTGAATATAATAGCTATTCAATAATAACTGTTAGTTCTCTTTTCTCCCCATTACCCTAAATGATACCCATGCTTATTTTGAAATTGTGTAATATTCTGTCATTGGCTGCTAATCTTTTCAGCTTCCAATCAAATCTTTTCTCCCTCTTTTCTTCCTGCTTCCCCGATTTCCTTCCTTCTTTATCTTGTTTTAGAAAAGGTTTGCATCTGCTAACATCTTTACCCCTCTCCCCTTCAGCTGACAGCTATTTTTTAGGAACATATCTAACAAGGTCACTCAAGTCGACTGAATTGTTTATTCTAATTCTTCGTTCTCTTACTGTATTAGAATTATGCCCCCATGCCCTTTGCCAAGGGATCGACATTATGTCTCACTGTGGCTGCAGTTACTTCGCAGTCACATTGATGCTGGCCAATAGAATGTGTAAAGTATCAGTGCGGCGATTAGAGATGATGTCCCTGTGCTCCTGTGTTCTCCTAATCTTTCAGCGTTCATATGCTCTCTCATAAGAATAGCAAGAGCTAAGGAGTTGCATAACTCCTGGTTCTAGGAGAAAGATGAAGACTTGTGGAGCAAACCTAAATTTAACCCAAAGCTTGGAATATACCCTAGCTCGATGGAGCTCAGGAAAGTCCAGCTGAAGTTAGCTGAAGCATAGCAGACCTATGAGTAAGAAAAAAATATTTTTTCTGTTGTTGCTATGAACTACTGAAATTTTGATGTAAAGAGAAAAACAGAATAGAATCACTCCTTGTTTAAAAACCCTTGGTGTTTACTCACTATGCCTGTGGAATATAACTCAGACCTTTTAATTCATGAATCTATTGGCAAATGCATCTTCATGAAACTCAGAAAGATTATGGATGCTGAGTAAGCAAATATCCGTATCCTTCGCAAACTACCTCATTGACCTGCAGAAACTCTATATGCCTTTCTTTTCTTTTTTTTTTTTTTTAAGGCAGAGTCTCACTCTGTCACCCAGGCACCCAG